ATCTGGGATGCTAAAAGCTCTTAATGTGGGCTCTGAAGGAGCTAGGTGCATAAGGTGGTAGGAAACCAGACCAGTTCCAGGAAAACAACTGTCTGCTCAGCCTTAGAATTTCTGAACTGCTCAGCAGCTGTCCAATAACTTACCTCTTCACCTGTGTCTGGTGACAGTAATTTTAATCATAGAATCATCAAGGTTGGAGAAGACTTTTAAGGTCATCCACTCCAGCTATTAACCTGACACTCCGCTGTAAGCCCTACCTGAACCATATCTGTAAACACTTCCAGGGATGGTAACTCCACCACCTCCCTGGGCAGCCTATTTCAGTGCCTGACCAGCCTAACAGTGAAAAAATTCAGGGACTTGTAGAGAGCCATGAAGTCACTCCTGAGCTGCCTCTTCTCAAGGCTAAACAAGCTCAGTCCCCTCAGCTGTTCCTCATACAACATGTGTACTAGACCATTTGTGAGCCTCATAGCCCTTCACTGAACTTACTCCACTGCCTCAATGTCCTTTAATGAAATGACTTAATGTCTTATAAAACTTACTTTCAGAATTTCCCTCAACTGCTCACAGGAAGGTGTGTTCTTGTGTGATCATAACTTTTGTTAGTGACTTGTATCCAGAGCTACAGGTTCTAGTTGCCACTGTGACATCCAGTTCAGATTTCTTGGTTTGCTTCTCCATTTTGGATTTACTTCGTAAGAGCTGTCTCCTTCATGAAACTGCCTTTATTTTTTTATGAAGTACAGAATTTATAAAGGTAGTGGATGTACAGATTGAGAAATGTGAACTTGTTGGCACAGAATGTAATGATATGCAGCTTGACACGTGAAAAATATTCTAGATTCTCTAAAAAGGGGCTAAAATCTTTATTCTGACAAATTAAGAGTTGGACATGCTGCATGTATGGCACTACGTCGTAGAAATTTCATAGTGCTTTATATACAGTTGCTAGGACCAGTACTCTTAGGCTAGATATATGCATGTGACATTAAGTGGGTGATTGTTGTATGACTTACGTGTGTGGTCACACTAATTTTCTTCCTTAATACATTTTTCTTGAACTAGCTCAAGTTACTTCTTAAATTGCTGCTAGTTCTGATACGGTACTTGATAAAATCATAGCGAATTATTAACTTGACTAACTTCTGGAAAAACACCAGAGTAACAAGAATGCTATCAACCCTTTATGAGTGTATGTGCCTAAATTTAAGTGGCTTTGGTAGTTTGTGTAGCAGATCTAATTTTTCCAAAAGCGAAGGTTAAGGGAAACCTTGTTTTAATGGTGATAGGTATATTGTCTTAGTAACCAGAAACAGTGTATTCATGTTGAGCATAAAGGTGTCAGGGAGAAGAGTTCTGTATTTTAAAGGGAACAATCATTTTGGAACATGTGCTTGTCCTGCCTAGTAGAGATAAGATAGTTTTAGTAATCAGTATGAGCCTTCAGTGTTTAATACATTACTGGGTAATTCCTCTAATCTGAAACTGGTCCTAACAATTAAAAGCAGTTGCTTTCTACTGTGTTGTAAATAACATGGCAGAACTGCTTAAAATAAAATCAATATGGGAAGTTGACATAGTGATCTTCTGTTAGCATGTGTTGGGGTTTGGCCTTCCAGTGGAGGCTGTCAGCAGACTACCCTATAAATCTTACCAGTAGCCTTGGTACAGGTAGCTTTCTGTCCTAACAGTAAATTTGTGTTAGCATAGTTTACTAAAGTAAAACTAATACTAGAGTTGTAGCTGACCACTATTTATAATGAAGAATGCATTGACTGCTTTCCTTTTGCACATTTATAATACAGTGGCTCATTTAGCAAAATAGTTCTGGCTCACTTTGGGAGTGTCATTATATTAGAAGACAGTTCTACCAGCTGCTTTGCTCAGTGAAACAAGTGAATTTTGAAGATTAAATTCCTTAGCAAAGAATAACTCAACTGTCTTGAACTTTCTTTCATAAAACCAAGTGAATACATGGTGAGACCTTTCTTAATTATGCTCAATCCTGTGAATTTACTATGCTGTCTATTGATAATGTAGAACTTGTTTATATAATGAAGGTTTATTGCAAAAGTTTGTCTCATGATTGAGCCAGGTGTTTGGAATACTCTGGTTTGGACTGAGGTTCAGTTTAAGAGCCTGTGCTAATAGTTTCAGTCTGCAAGGTCCAGCGGGTTGTAGTTTTGGTTTGTACAGTTTTCTAACGCTTAACATAGAGTGTAAAATCTGTTGTGATACAAGGTGGCTAATTTGCAAGGGTGTTGGTTAAGGAGGGATCAATATGTGTCCATAATGTAGTGTTAGTAACAGTTCTCACTGGATTTTTCAGCTTGCCTAAAGTTGTTAAAAGACGTGTGAACGCTCTCAAGAACCTGCAAGTTCAGTGTGCACAGATAGAAGCAAAATTCTATGAGGAAGTTCATGAGCTGGAAAGGAAGTATGCTGCTCTCTATCAGCCTTTATTTGACAAGGTATTTCACTGCTAATCTGATTTGTATGTAAAAGTTTCAGATAAAGCACAAGGGAATATAACAGACTGAAAAATTATGCACGTTCTAAATTACTTTGTTCTCATGTGCGCGTTCAATTCAGTTGATACATTTTTGCCATCCATGTGAATGTCAATTAAGATCAAGGGGCAAAAGGTTCAGTCTGTTTCATGGTTACCAAAATCCCTTCAATACACCAGGCCTCATTTTGTTAATTGAGCAGATGTCAGATGATATTCTAACCTTTCTGGGACTTTGGTGTTTATTTTAGTGTGTTGAAAACATTTTAACTGCTGACTCTGTCTTCTAGAGCCAGAAGAAAAAGTTTTGATAAATAGTTAATATGTTACTAATTGTGTAATTTAGGATTAGGAATTTGTCGGTTAAGGCATTGCTGATTGTAGTGACTAGGAAATTTTAAAATATTCTTGGTTTAATCTTCTAGCGAAGTGAAATCATCAATGCAATTTATGAACCTACAGAAGAAGAATGTGAATGGAAAACAGATGTTGAAGAAGAAATTTCAGTGAGTACTTTAATCGACTCTCATCAATAACTGAAGCCTTAGCATGAAACAAGATTCAGTACAGTAACTGAAGTTTAAGAAAACAAACAGCTGGGTTCATGATGATTGCTTGTTTACAGTAATGATATTAATTCTTAATGGTTGCTTAAAGCATGCATATGAAATTTAACCTATACTGGTATCAACATAAAACTTAATGAACCTTATGGACACTCTTGTAAAATTAAGAACACCTAACATTTTTATTTTTTCAAGGAGCAAATGAAAGAGAAAGCCAAGATTGAGGATGAAAAAAAAGATGAAGAAAAAGAAGACCCTAAAGGAATTCCTGAGTTTTGGCTGACAGTATTCAAGAATGTGGACTTGCTCAGTGATATGGTTCAGGTAGGTGTTGGTCCAAGTTTGTTTGAAGTTGCATTATTATGTAATCCAAGTGTCCTTAAAAAAGGAATAGAAACACTGCACTGCTTGGTATGTCTGTTGGGGAGCAAAAATGGAACCATTACTTGGATGTCATCTCTGGTACTTCATTGACCTCAGAGTGTAGAGCACTGAAATACCTTCTTACTGTTCTATTGTTTGAACTTGTTTTACCATGGTGATATACTTTCTGTGCTTATAGGAGTGTGTGTGAGATGTATATTAAATATTGCTAAAAACTGTACTGGATATTTGCATGGATTTTGAGTGTGTACAGCATTGGAGACTGTGCAGCCATTGTTGCCATCTGCTGGTCACGTTAATGAAAACATTTCAGTGCTGTAAGTAGGTTTTTGTTCTAAAGAAAACTCCTTCTGAACATGGCTTTTTATCTCTGCAGGGTCTTAAATCTGTATAATTTCATGTTATGAAAACTAAACACACTGTTTTCTTTACAGGAACATGATGAACCTATCCTGAAATACTTAAAAGATATAAAAGTGAAATTTTCAGAAGCTGGACAGCCTATGGTTAGTTTAACTTAGTAAATAAGATTACTTTTGTGTTACCTTAAGACTTACTTGTATATTAGCAACATGCTCTCTGATAGCCAATTGTCTTGTGGAAATTGTGAGAAAATACACAGCTGTTGCTTCTGAGAAACAGTACAAGGCCTAGTGCTAGCCTTGCAATACCCCATGAATGAATTTATACTAAATTTAACCTTCAGCTTCTGATGGGATTTGCCTTAATATCTGATGACTTAAGTTTCACCTTTGCATTTCAATACTTTCAGGTATTTTTTGTATAACTGTTATAATTGGATATCATTTCCCTGGGAGAAATCCAGACAACTTGCTAAGTTGTAATATTTTTAAATTTAAAAGTTCTCTCTATACATGAGCACCAGGAAAGCTGTATGCTTGGAGATCTGAGCCAGTGCTGGAATCAGTATGTTGACTAACATGTGCAAGATCAACATGGTAAATTAAAAGATTTGGAGATTTTATGGCACAACTTTGGTAGCAAATTCTAGATTAAGTCATAGATGTGCACCATTTCAGTGGGGGAGGAGGGGGTGTATTCTGTTGCATGTGTATTTTTTGATTTGGGATTCTAGGTATTTAGAAGTTAAATGTATGTGTTATAAATTACTAAAGTTGTTGGTCTGCAATTCTTTTTAAGAGTTTCACATTAGAATTTCATTTTGAACCAAATGACTACTTCACAAATGAAGTGTTGACGAAGACGTATAGAATGAGGTCGGAGCCAGATGATTCTGATCCCTTTTCCTTTGATGGACCCGAAATCATGGGTTGTACAGGGTAAGTGCTAATGGATGGCTTTAAGGCAATAGAACAGTTTCTTCCTTTAGTTTTCTCCAATTGTCGACTTTTACAGCATCTTTGGGAAGGTGCTGGAAAGATACTGCTCCTAATAACTTCTGAACAGCTGGGTTGGACTTGAATTTTTTTAGTTGTTATCAATACCTTCAATACTTTATAGAAAAATATTTATATTGCGTAATTTATAAGCATATATATTATAAATATAAATAAAAATGTAATCAGTATTTACCTAGAAGTACTGTTCTGCAGTCACTGAAGCTGAATTGGAAGGTGAATGGTGGTATCTTTTTGTAAGCATTGATAGCCTTTTTCAAAATTTGGTTGATCACTTTTAGTCTTTTTGTATTTCTGTTGTGCAGCATTTTGGGAAGTCTCTTCCAGTTTTCACTTTTTGTATTGCAGTTGTCCATTTTGTTTTATAAGTGTCGAAGGTTTACCTCTCAGTGTCTGCTTAAGAAACAGAACAGTCATGTCCTGTTAACTTCAGGTTACTCATAATTTTAAAAAGCTGTCACTCCTTTCTCAGTAAAGTCTTTGTTCTGTACATGTGCCTCTTTCTGTGAACAGAGGGATGAAAGAAACCTGACTTGTACATGTTTATCCTTGTGGGTACATGTGGGCCTGTTAAGTTCCTTTCATGTTTATATCTCTAATGTTTTGGCTGCTCTTTTGAGTCTTAACAACTAAGTTAGAGCCTATCACTGCATAGTTGGGGTTGGTTTTACCATTTTATTAATCTGCAGTTGCTGATAGTGACTTTTATTTAACACTTAATTTCCCAGTCACTTAATGATTAATTCCTAATCCTTGTTTTGTTTTGTAGCTAAGACAGCCTCTTCTTGTCTCAGAACAGTTCATTCCCTTCCTTTGAGTCTTTAAAGTAATCTGATCAGAAACTTTTGCAAATACAGATAGTTTCACTCATGTGACTTCATTTGCATGTCACTAGAATGTTTTGACTGTTAGAGAAGCATGTAAGCTGATAGAGTTAAAAAACCCAAACTAAAACCACAAAACTCAAACAAATAAAAAAAGAAGATAAAACCCTCACAAACAAACAACTCAAAATCAGCCAAAAACTACACACCTGCTTGATGCATTATTTTAAGGACTTACTATGATAGATGTGGCCAACTTTAGCATATTAGTAACATGACTAAAATGTGACATTATTTTATAATGGATAGGTAGCTCTAAAAATTATGTGATAGGTACTACTTGGTAGGTAATGAATTAGCATTTCAGTGATTGAGTGGAGAAGAAAAAACCTCTGGATGGAAACTCTTCAATCCTAAAATGAACCTGTTACTCTTTTCAATGTGCAAATTAATGAAAAGATAGCAGTGAATAAACACTGCCTTAATATTTTCTATTCATTGTGTCACTTGCAGTTGTAATAAGCTCAGTAGGTACTTGTGACAAGGCAAATGATATTAAGCTGCAGCTGATTTTTGTTTGGGTTTCTTCTTCCTTTTTCTTTACTCTTTAGTTGCCAAATAGACTGGAAAAAGGGAAAGAATGTTACTTTAAAAACCATTAAGAAGAAGCAGAAACATAAGGGCCGTGGAACAGTTAGGACAGTGACAAAAACTGTTTCAAATGACTCGTTCTTCAATTTCTTTAATCCTCCTGAAGGTAAGCTGAACACTAGTTTATCTACATTAACTTTAAATGTAGAATGTGCTTCACTCACACCTTTTTTTTTTTTTTTTTTTTTCCCCCCCTACAGTTCCTGAAAATGGAGACCTGGTAAGTTTGCTTATTTAAAATGTAGAGGTGAAGTGTTTGTGGAAATTGTTTGGGAATTTGTTAAACAGCTTCAGCTTTAACTGCTTCTGTATTTAACTGAGAATACTTGTGAAGATTAGTATGTACTTGAGTTTTCTTTATTAGAGGGAGTATTTGTTAAGTTGGATGATAGAATTTAGTCAACTTTAGCAGTTTATCCTTCCTCAGAGCTACCTTGTGAATTGTTAACAGCTGTACAAATGTAGTGATCTTCCTTATTAGTCCTTGATCGCACGGGTGGTGTAAGTCTCTCCCTTCAGGCTTGGTTTGGATGATTTTATCTAATGGCTGAATGTATCTGGTTTGTATTTTATTCTGTTAAAAATTTCCCAAGCTTATTAAGCCTTGGAGAAGGTAATAAAACAAGAATAGAGAACTGCAACAGCCTGATTTTCTATGTGCTCACTGTGGCAATAAGCCATATCTTTATAAGGAGAAAAACTACCCAAAATACTTAACAGTGGGGAATACGTTATGGAGCTTGAGTGAGAAATATGATTAGAGCTTCTAGAAGCATGCTGCCAGAGCTCCAGTTGGCATGGACACCAAAGCTTATGTTCATAATGTTTTAAAAAAAAAACAGGAAAAGAAAGAAGCCTTTTGAATTGAGGATAATTTCTTAGATGAGAGAGAGCAGAACACTTGGTCTGAAAAGAGAAGGAGTGAAAGTCTGAGATTGGATCAGAGGGCATTTTTAGGTGTTCAGGTGCTTCACAGTGGCTTGTCTAATGGGAATCATGGAGGAGATGCACTGTAGGTTGTAAAGTCTTTTAACGAGATAGGCTCAACTGGCTATTCTGATCTTTAAGGGTATTGTGCATATGAACTGAAAGTCTATGGAAGATATCAAACAATCTTGGAAATAAAAAGAAGTTGGGGTGGGAAAAGTAAAAGTGAAACTCCAGAATTTTGTGTAATTAAGCTCACTGAGCAGCAGCTCCCCACGGCAGAATGTAGGTGAGCTGTTTCAAGTGTCAAACTTGGCTCTTCAATTTCAATTCTATAAAACAAGTCTTGAAACAAAAAAATAAGTACATGGGATTTGTATAAATCTGGCCACATCAAAACCCCTGCAACTCGTGTTTGTCTCCAAAGTAGTTATCACTGTATGTTGTTTTGTGCAGGATGATGATTCTGAGGCAATCCTTGCTGCAGACTTTGAAATAGGTCATTTCCTGCGTGAGCGCATAGTCCCCCGGTCAGTGTTGTACTTCACAGGAGAAGCTATTGAAGATGATGATGATGATGTGAGTGTAATGTTCTTTCAAAACACTAAAAACTTTGAAATAATGCTGCTTCAAGACCTTGGGTAATTTCTCACACTGGTATCTTTAGAATGGGATATATCGATGTTACTTTCAGCAGAGCTTCCTGGAGTGTTCAGTAAAAAGCAGCATGAAAGTAATTCGTCTTTGAAGTAGTGACTTCAGAGTTTTGTGGCAAAAGTAGGGGTAGAAACTGAACATCTAGAGGATGTCTTAGTAGAATTTTGTGTATAAGGCATTCCTAGAGTGGTGTGCCCAGGACTTTGATCGAACTATAATGAGCTGCCAGAGGACAAATTAGTCTGTTTATCTAGCTGCTCAGCCTGTTCTTCATGCTTACAGTGATACTGGGCTACCCAGTTCCAAGATTCAAGCCTCATCCTTTCAAGAAGGCACTCTTACTAAAAAATGCAAGATAAGCATGCTCAAAGCATGCCAAAATACTCAAATCAAGTTCTGCAAAAGCTTCAATTAAGTGCTTTAAAGGAACTAAACTTGAAATCAAGAAACCACTAAACCTTAGAACTTTATATGGGTGAAACACTTTCTCTCCCCTGCCTCCATTCAAACAAGGGCAGTTTGACAGTTAAGATAGTTTAGATAAGTCCTGCCTTAAATTAATTTTTAGAAACCAAACTGTTAGCCCTTGGCTGGGGATGGAGGAGGGAGGAGGTACTGACAGTAGGAATTGCCATGGGCTCTGAGGCTCCCTGCCACACGCAGGTGGTACTGCAGTCTAATCAGTTCCTTCAGCCTTGCATCAAAGGGTGCACAGGCTTCTCTGTCAGAGCTTATTTTAAGAGATGGAACATTGCTCATGCTGTGATGCATAGAGCATATTTTAATCTGACAGATACAGAAACTCTCTTAAGAGCATAATACAGTGTGGTCTATGCCATCTAGTTGAGTTATCTGGCTGTACTTGAGCTGCATTTATGATGCTATTAAAACCATTTATTTTCTCTCCTAGTATGATGAAGAAGGTGATGAAGAGGCAGATGATGAGGTAAGATGAAGATGCACTTGATTCTAAAAGTTTCCGTGTTGTAATTTGTTATATGGAATAAGAGTTCCTTTAGTTTTGAATGCTCTGGACACTTATGAATTATTTATGAAGTAAGATGCAGCACATTGTTTTGTGGATCTTGGGTGAATCATTTTCAAAAAACAGCAAAGCAAAAAAAAAAAACCCCAAGCCAAACTAAAACAACCCTTGAGGTATCTTACAAATTAAGTTGCCACTGATGTCAATAGAGGATATGTTTTGTGAAGGGTAAACTAATACAGTATGTGTAACATAAAATGATAATTAATGTATTTCTGAGCATAATTGAATCTTAATTTTCATGAAAATGGCTCAGGAAGCTGAATGTGACTAAGCTAGAGAAATATAAACAAGTGTTTTCTTTCAGGAGGGAGAAGAAGAAGCCGATGATGAAAATGATCCTGAGTATGACCCAAAAGTAAGGAGTTACAATGAATGTTTGAAGTCTTGTGTATGCTTGCAGACATTTAAAATTTTAAGCATGTTAAATCTTGGTTTTAGTCAAATTATTTAATCAGTTCTTCCTATGGTGAGTATGGTTTGGCTGAGGCTATTTCAGTACCAGTTCTGACAGACTAATATTGGTAAAGAAACTTTGTAAAGTTCTTTCTCCAAGAATCGTTTTGTAAGACTAACTTTTGGCATTGAGCACTGAGGTTAGTCAGGCTTGCTTTTCTAGAAACTTGTCTTGCAGCAGGTTGCTGCAGTAGCCAAGAAGGCAAATGGCATCCTGGCCTGTATCAAAAGTACTGTGGTCAGGAGGACTGGGGAAGTGATTGTCCCCCTGTACTCAGCACTGATAAAGCCATACCTTGAGTCCTGTGTCCAGTTCTGGGCCCCTCACCTCAAGAAGGACATTTTCGTGCTGGAGCATGTTCAGAGAACAGGGACATTGATGGGCTGGAGCATGTCCAGAGAAGGGAATGGAGCAGGTGAAGGGTCTGGAACACAAGGAGCAGCTGTGAGAACTGGGGTTATTTAGCCTGGGGAAGAGGAGACTCAAGGGTGACATTATCACTCTCCACAACTCCCTGACAGGAGGTTGGAGCCAGTTGGGCTCAATCTCTTCTCTCAGGAAACTAGTGACAGGATGAGAGACATAGTCCCAAGCTGTGCCATGGGAGGTTTAGGTTAGACATTAGGAGGAATTTCTTCCCAGAATGGGTGATTAAACATTGGGATGGTCTACCCAGGGAAGTGGTGAAGTTAGTTTCCCTGGAGGTGTTTGGGAAAAGACTGGAGGTGGCACTTAGTGTCATGGTCTAGGTGACACAGTGGTGTTAGGTCATAAGTTGGACTTGGTGATCACAGAGGTCTTTTTCAACCTCATTGATTCTGTGGTTCTGTAATGATGAAAATACTGTTCAATAGTTGTAAGAACATGCAGAGAACTGTGTAATCCAGGTTCAGTTTTTCAGAACTTGTTACAAGCTGGCTCTGGCGCAGATTTTCCCAACAGAACACAAAACTGAAGCTTTTCCAGGGTAGATAAATAGCAAGGTTTTTATTGTTCAAGGTAGCAGAAGTCAAGGTTCAGGAATGCATCTACAGCCAAGTACTACAATGTGAACAGCCAGGAGCAACTGGCAGCTTTCTTACTCTGTTGGAAGGGCAAATCACTAGTCAGGCTGGAAAAGTAATTGTGAGCCACTCAGTTCACAGCTTTTTAATAGCTAAGGGAAAGGCACCTCTGGCCACCTGAAAGCATCTGATGGAGGTAGGTGAAAGTTGCAGAGATGAAAATGGAGTCTATGTGAAGTACTCCAAAATGCTTCCTGTAAAATTCCTTGCCATTTCAAGTGAGGAGGCACCATGTGTTTCTCAGTAGGAATGTGTTGAGCTACTATCAAAGTGCTATTGAAAGAAGTAGATAATCTTATCATTGTATCTAGAAAGGCATAGGATACAGAACAGTTAGTCAGAATGTGCAGCCTCTTGGTGATGTTTCATCTGATACAGTGTATTCAAATTGCTTCCTAGTCAAAAAAGTTTTGGAATCAAAATAAAACCAGCTGCAAGTTGGCCTTCTTATTTCCATTTCAGATTGCTTTTCTTGGCAAAACAGAACTGAGAAAGGGCAACACTGTATGCTCAGTTTCAGAGAGAACTGCCAAAGGACTAGAGACAGTAGTGGTACTATAATGTATTGACATAAGAATAAATAGTTGTAAGCTGATCTCAGGCTGAAAGCCAGCTGAATTTATTAAAGCACCATGGACCTGAAGCAGCTATCCAGACCAAGACAGTGGAGTGAAACTTGCAACTGAACACTGCCCCCAAAAGAAGGAACTTTTTAAAAAAAAAAACCTTCAAATTTTACTGTGACATACTATTCGTTGTCTGTTTCAATATAACAAAAGAAATTTTCTATGTTAGAATTTTCTAACAACTGAAATTTATTGCAAAAGATGTTTCCAGAGTGTTAAGGACATACTGTGATTTGGCATTTCATTGGATTGCTCTACAGTGGCTTCTGGATTAAGGCCATGCCCTTGTTACTGTCCGTAGGAAGTTTGTTCTGTCTCAAACTGTGAGGACGACCTGGATGCTGCTTCTGAGCCAAGTTTTTTGTTACTTCACATAAGTATTCTCTTTTTTCCAGTTACAGTGTCTTTCATCACACTTTGTTCTGAGTGATGTTTGTTCTGGATTGTATACTGATGCACTAACAAACCCAAAATAAATGCAGTGTGGATATTGCCACATCCAAAGACAGTGGTATTGCTAATAATAGATAATTAGTGTGAGGGAAAATATGAAAAAACTAGAATACTGCAACTTGTGAAAGTCTGCTTAGCAATATTGATAGTTCTTTTAAAATACTGGTTTGTCTAAACTGATGTTTTCTTTTTTTCTCAACAGAAGGATCAAAACCCAGCAGAATGCAAGCAGCAGTGAAGCAGTGTGTATGTGGCCTTGAGGATTACCTGCACTGTAATAGCCTAAATAAAACTATTAGTTACTTACAGCCTTATGTTTTGTATCTTGGTAGAATTAAGTAACCAATTTGTTAAAAAAAGAAATCAAACACATAAGAACCAGTTTAAAATGTAGGTTCAATCTACCTAGCATTTTAACAGTATAATTTTCTGCCAATATGTAGAATGCAGTAAATCCCCTAAAGCATGAATGTTAATTCAATGCTACATAGTTTGGTTCTTGTGAAGTCTTTGTCATGTAGCTATTAGACTGCAGCTGTGAAGATTATCAGAACTGTTAACTGAGACCAATATTTGTTTAGATAAAACTTTCTCCTGAAGAACCAACCAAAGTATTTTTTCAGCCCAGTAGTCTGAACGGGTTTAAGTCTGCTTGCACTAGCTGTGCCTTCATTACTTTGTTAGAGAAATGGCAGTGACTTGTACTAACTAGGAGATGATGATGCATTTGGAATTTGACTACTTGAGAAGACTAGTACAACTTGTTTAATTTCCAACGAGACCACATTAAACATTCATAGGTGTCAGCTTGTTTATGCTATGGGTTTTGTATTTTATGTGACACGGTGATCTACAAAAGAAACCTAGCCATTATGTTAAGGTTATTGTTTACCACTGGGGTGTGAATAAAACCTAGTATTTTCAGAAGCTAGTCTTGTTTTATTGTGTGTATTTGCATGTGTAAACTGGTAAGGCATATCTTACATGCTGCAGTTCATGTTTTACAAGAAACAAAAGTTGGTAATTACTGAAAAATTATATAGCATTTCAAAAACAAACACAATAGTTTGGAAAGTTTGATCCGTACTTTCCATTTGCAGTATGATACTTGTGAAGCTGAGCTACATGTTTCAGTGATTGGTTGACACTGTCATTTTAGAGAAGACAGGTTCTTAGAATTGGGACTAGATCTGATAAAGGACTTCGGTATTGCTGTGCCCAACTCTCTAAGGCATTGCCTACTAGTATGAAATCTGGAGCAAAATGCCTTGGATTTTCAGTCTGTATAGACAGAGCTACATTGTCCTGAACAAAGCCTACCCTGCAGCCTAAGGGAGTACTGGAACACTTGGCTATATTCTAGTTTGTTCTCAGTCTCTCAAGCACCTACGAAGGAGGAAACAAACCCAAAGGAAATCCTCTTTCTTCATCTAATATTCTGTTCACTGTGCTTCTGTTTGCATGTTTGCAGGTTCATACTTCCATCCATATTGGATATTTGTTGTCAGGTGAAACACATGGGCTAGAAGATCTTCCTTATACTAACTTTGCCTCTAGCCTGGCAGCAGAAGTGCTTGACAAGATGTGGATTTGAACACACTCAGCTGAAAGAGACTATGAACCTAATGGATTCCCTCTTGAGTTTTCCCAGTCAGTAGGATGCTACTGTACTCCATTGCAGTCTTGTACTTCACATAACTATGTACGTTCTGATCTAAGCAAGTAGCTAGAGACCTTTTTGGGGATGGAAGGGACCTTGTAGGGTCTAGCTGTTGTCCAGATCTATTTCTGCAGTAGCTACTTTTTTTTAATGCTACTGTTACACCGACTTAGCTGTAAAGGTTTGAAAAGAGCAGGGCAAGCAGGAGGCAACAACCACATGAGGATGGAGCTGGTGGAAGAATTTCTGTAGCATGTCTATTGATTGGAGGGTAATACCTCAAGTTCCCCTTCTGAGTCCTCAGCTCCCCCTGAGAGGACATGGGTTTAGTGTTCTCTGACTAAACTGTTTTTGTTTTGTGGTTTATACTTTTTTTTTTTAGTCATTCAAGGCTTAAGTATTGCACTGCTTTATTCTGAGATCCCGTATCAGGCTTCGTCTTCCTCCTCTCCAGATAACTGGATTTGGGAGGAGGAGCTCATGTTATTTTATAGCTGTATATAAAACAGCACTGTAGAAACTGTGATCTTACGTGTTTTTTAGGTAACACATAGATCTCATAGCATTGGAAAATACAGCAATGAAAGGTTAACAATCACTCTCTGGTAGCTGTGTGTGTTAAAGTAAATGTGATTGTGTTCTTGTGTATCAGAATATGCTTATCGTTTAAGGCACCGGCCCTGCCAGGTGTTTGGGCTTCACATGGTCTCTTCTCTGAACATCTTGCAGGGTTAAGTTGAAGTTTAAAAACTTGAGGGCATGTAGAGACCAAACTGATGGTACGTTACGAGCTTGAGCAGTCGTTAATGTAGGGCTTTGGGGTTCATACTTCTGGCCGTAAGTCTCTGAAGTCCTTACTTAGATCTAGCCCATTTTTGCTAACAGCATCTGGCAATTCTATCTTAAAAAGAAAATGCACTGTTAAAAGTTGTCTTAAGTTTCTAAAATCACTGCAGTTAACAAATTTGGCTTGCTCTTTGATTGCTTTCTCATTTAATATTTTCATGTCATACAATGGGATATAATGTTTGAAAAGGAGAATTGGTAGACATCAAAGCACCTGCAGCCTGCAAGATCCAGGGCCATAAATCCATCTCTATTGACAGACTTTGGTAAGCTTCTCTCTAGATTGATATGCTAGTTGTAAATCATCAGTTCTTGTGCAGACTGCAGCAAAAGGGAAGATATAATATAAATGAGGTGCCAGTTCTTATGGCATTGGTTAATAAAAACTGTTCTGGTGCTTA